TCTGGCAGAGGAACCTCCCACCATGTAGCAAAGTGAGGGTTGTCCTGGCCCATAGGCCACACTAATGGGGGAAAATGGCCCAACCAGATTGTTGCCAGGGGATCTCCAGCCTAGATTAACTCCCATAAGGGAATATCCCACCTTCCCAGGGGTCCTCCAAACTTTTCAAAAACAAAGGGCCGCTTTAATAGGTCCCATTCAGGACGTTAAGAGTAAGAGATGATGCGAGATTCGAAGTAAGGCGAAGTGGATATTCGAGTCGAATATTGATGAAAATTTTCGATTCGCGCCGAATCCGAAAAAATAGCCTAACTTCGGCACGAATCGAAATTTTTCCTAAAGGCCATTTTAGAATTCTTCATTTGCCTCCAGTCATTCAAGAGAGGCAGAACGGCTCTGTATTAGGGACAGAGTTAGGGCCACAGAAACGTTACTTGGGGACAGAGAAACGTTACTTAGGGACAGAGAAGCATTACTCAGGGACACAGAATTGTTAATGAGGCCACAGAATCGTTACTTAGGGCCAAAGAAACGCTAGTTAGGGCCACAGAATTGTTACTCAGGGACAGACAGAATTGTTACTGAGTGCCAGAGAATTGTTACTTAGGGCCACAGAAACGTTAGTTAGGGCCACAGAATTGTTACTCAGGGACAGACACACAGAATTGTTACTGAGGGCCACAGAACTGTTACTTAGGGCCACAGAAACGTTAGTTAGGGCCACAGAATTGTTACTCAGGGACAGACAGAATTGTTACTGAGTGCCAGAGAATTGTTACTTAGGGCCACAGAAACGTTAGATAGGGCCACAGAATTGTTACTCAGGGACAGACACAGAATTGTTACTGAGGGCCACAGAACTGTTACTTAGGGCCACAGAAACGTTAGTTAGGGCCACAGAATTGTTACTCAGGGACAGACAGAATTGTTACTGAGGGCCACAGAACTGTTTACTTAGGGCCACAGAAACGTTAGTTAGGGCCACAGAATTGTTACCCAGGGGACAGACACAGAATTGTTATTGAGGGCCACAGAATTGTTACTGAGGGCCACAGAACTGTTACTTAGGGCCACAGAATTGTTACTCAGGGACACAGAATTGTTACTGAGGGCCACAGAACCGTTACTTAGGGCCACAGAATTGTTACTCAGGGACAGACACAGAATTGTTACTCAGGGACACAGAATTGTTACTGAGGGCCACAGAACCGTTACTTAGGGCCACAGAATTGTTACTCAGGGACACAGAATTGTTACTGAGGGCCACAGAACCATTACTTAGGGCCACAGAATTGTTACTCAGGGACACAGAATTGTTACTTAGGGGCCACAGAAACGTTACTCAGGGACACAGAATTGTTACTGAGGGCCACAGAACTGTTACTTAGGGCCACAGAAACGTTACTTAGGGACACAGAATTGTTACTCAGGGACAGACACAGAATTGTTACTGAGGGCCACAGAATTGTTACTTAGGGCCACAGAAACGTTACTCAGGGACACAGAATTGTTACTGAGGGCCACAGAACCGTTACTTAGGGCCACAGAATTGTTACTCAGGGACAGACACAGAATTGTTACTCAGGGACACAGAATTGTTACTGAGGGCCACAGAGAACTGTTACTTAGGGCCAAAGAATTGTTACTCAGGGACAGACACAGAATTGTTACTGAGGGACACAGAATTGTTACTGAGGGCCACAGAACCGTTACTTAGGGCCACAGAAAAGTTACTCAGGGACACAGAATTGTTACTGAGGGCCACAGAACCGTTACTTAGGGCCACAGAATTGTTACTCTCAGGGACAGACACAGAATTGTTAGGGGCCACACTGAGGGACAGGGGGACAGACACAGAATTGTTACTGAGGGCCACAGAACCGTTACTTTAGGGCCACAGAATTGTTACTCAGGGACAGACACATAATTGTTACTCAGGGACACAGAATTGTTACTGAGGGCCACAGAACCGTTACTTAGGGCCACAGAATTGTTACTCAGGGACACAGAACTGTTACTGAGGGACACAGAACCGTTACTTAGGGCCACAGAATTGTTACTCAGGGACAAACACAGAATTGTTACTCAGGGACACAGAATTGTTACTGAGGGCCACAGAACCGTTACTTAGGGCCACAGAAACGTTACTCAGGGACAGACACAGAATTTACTCAGGGACAGACACAGAATTGTTACTCAGGGACACAGAATTGTTACTGAGGGACACAGAATTGTTACTGAGGGACACAGAATTGTTACTCAGGGACACAGAATTGTTACTGAGGGACACAGAATTGTTACTGAGGGACACAGAATTGTTACTCAGGGACAGACACAGAATTGTTACTCAGGGACAGACACAGAATTGTTACTCAGGGACAGACACTGAATTGTTACTCAGGGACAGACAGAATTGTTACTGAGGGCCACAGAATGTTACTTAGGGCCACAGAAACGTTACTCAGGGACACAGAATTGTTACTCAGGGACAGACACAGAATTGTTACTCAGGGACAGACACAGAATTGTTACTGAGGGACACAGAATTGTTACTGAGGGCCACAGAACCGTTACTTAGGGCCACAGAAACGTTACTCAGGACAGACACAGAATTGTTTACTCAGGGACAGACACAGAATTGTTACTGAGGGCCACAGAACTGTTACTTAGGGCCACAGAACTGTTACTTAGGGCCACAGAAACGTTACTCAGGGACACAGAATTGTTACTGAGGGACACAGAATTGTTACTGAGGGACACAGAATTGTTACTTAGGGACCACAGGGTTACAGGGACACAGAATTGTTACTGAGGGCCACAGAACTGTTACTTAGGGCCACAGAACTGTTACTTAGGGCCACAGAAACGTTTACTCAGGGACACAGAATTGTTACTCAGGGACACAGAATTGTTACTGAGGGACACAGAATTGTTACTGAGGGACACAGAATTGTTACTCAGGGACACAGAATTGTTACTGAGGGCCACAGAACTGTTACTTAGGGCCACAGAACTGTTACTTAGGGCCACAGAAACGTTACTCAGGGACACAGAATTGTTACTCAGGGACACAGAATCGTTTAATTAAAGAGTATGTCAGACAACATGCAGAGGAGTGGCAGAGGAGGCAATGTTTTAGGAGCGAGCAGACGTGGCAGCAGAGGAAGGGGTCGAGGGCAGCACTATTCGCAGCCAGAGGCTAGTGCTCCCGGTGTCATCCAGTACAGTGAGGAAGAGCTAACAGAGGGCGGTCAGGAACGGGGGGGGAGACATCCGCCTCTTCAGCAGCCAGGTGAAGAAGTAGTGGCGAGGAGAGTGGCTCGGTAGCCGGTGTAGAGACAGGTCTGTCTCCTGACCCACACGCAGCCGAGGGGGCTAGTAGTGAGGCGGAGAGACCCTAATTGATGATGATGAGGCTGATCGCACTTGGCAGCCTCGTCGTCATCAGGCTATTGCTTCCGCATCATCAGGAGAAGAGGGTGGCAGCTTGGCAGCGAGCAAAACAGTCGGTGGGTTGTCTCCATCGCCACACTCTGCCATGTGCCACTTTCAGGTCTCCTCACACACTGCTGGTGTGTTGAATTTTTTGACATAGGGTGCTGGCAGATTAGGGACACAGAAATTGTTACGGGCCTCCCATAGCTGCTGCCAGGCCCCTAATCTGCCATGGGCCCCTATACCGCCTCCTCATGCTGCTGCCAGGTCCACAATCTCTCATGCCATGTGCCACTTTCAGGTCTCCTCACACTGCTGGTGTGTTCAATTTTTTGACATAGGGTGCTGGCAGATTACGGGCCTCCCATAGCTGCTGCCAGGCCCCTAATCTGCCATGGGCCCCTATATACCCGCCTCCTCATGCTGCTGCCAGGTCCAGAGTCTGTCATTGGTCCCTGTACGGCCTCCCATTGCTGCTGTCTCCATCGCCACACTCTGCCATGTGCCACTTTCAGGTCTCTCCACACACACTGCTGGTGTGTTGAATTTTTTGACATAGGGTGCTGGCAGATTACGGGCCTCCCATAGCTGCTGCCAGGCCCCTAATCTGCCATGGGCCCCTATATACCGCCCTCCTCATGCTGCTGCCAAGGTCCAGAGTCTGTCATGGGTCCCTGTACGGCCTCCCATTGCTGCTGTCTCCATCGCCACACTCTGCCATGTGCCACTTTCAGGTCTCCTCACACACTGCTGTTGTGTTCAATTTTTTGACATAGGGTGCTGGCAGATTACGGGCCTCCCATAGCTGCTGCCAGGCCCCTAATCTGCCATGGGCCCCTATATACCGCCTCCTCATGCTGTGCCAAGTCCAGAGTCTGTCATGGGTCCCTGTACGGCCTCCCATTGCTGCTGTCTCCATCGCCACACTCTGCCATGTGCCACTTTCAGGTCTCCTCACACACTGCTGTTGTGTTCAATTTTTTGACATAGGGTGCTGGCAGATTACGGGCCTCCCATAGCTGCTGCCAGGCCCCTAATCTGCCATGGGCCCCTATATACCGCCTCCTCATGCTGCTGCCAAGTCCAGAGTCTGTCATGGGTCCCTGTACGGCCTCCCATTGCTGCTGCCAGGAGGCAGCAGGGTCGCAGCAGTGTCAGTGGAGGCAAACGGCCACGGAGTAGAGCACCAGCTCCACTGCAGCCTACCACAACGGCCAGTAGTGGTGCCGGTGTGCACGGAGGAAGTAGCAGTCAGCCAGTGAGGAGTAGCGGGGGCAAAGTTTCCTACGGGCAGTGTGGCAATTTTTTCGTCAAGCCGCCCGAGGAAGTAAACGTAGCCTCCGTATGTCGACTATGTGGCCAGAAAGTCAAGCGTGGCCTGGGGGGCCCATGTTGGGACTACTGGCAGCGTTGCGTCAGCATATGCAGCGTCGCCCATTCGGTGGCCTGGGAAAACCGTGATAAAGATACGGCGGTTCTGCCTGCCCCTCCCCAGGGTTCCATTTTGTCATAGGGTGCTGGCAGATTACGGGCATCCCATTGCTGCTGCCAGGCCTTAATCTGCCATGGGCCCCTGTACCGCCTCCTCATGCTGCTGCCAGGTCCAGAGTCTGTCATGGGTCCCTGTACGGCCTCCCATTGCTGCTGTCTCCATCGCCACACTCTGCCATGTGCCACTTCAGGTCTCCTCACACACTGCTGGTGTGTTGAATTTTTTGACATAGGGTGCTGGCAGATTACGGGCCTCCCATAGCTGCTGCCAGGCCCCTAATCTGCCATGGGCCCCTATACCGCCTCCTCATGCTGCTGCCAGGTCCCACAGTCTCTCATGCCATGTGCCACTTTCAGGTCTCCTCACACTGCTGGTGTGTTGAATTTTTTGACATAGGGTGCTGGCAGATTACGGGCCTCCCATAGCTGCTGCCAGGCCCCTAATCTGCCATAGGCCCCTATATACCGCCTCCTCATGCTGCTGCCAGGTCCAGAGTCTCTCATGGGTCCCTGTACGGCCTCCCATTGCTGCTGTCTCCATCGCCACACTCTGCCATGTGCCACTTTCAGGTCTCCTCACACTCCTGCTGGTTTCCATTTTGTCATAGGTTGCTGTATGGCCTCCCATTGCTGCTGCCTCCACCGCCACACTGTGGCTCCAAACACTGGTTTTGGCCCCGTGACTTGCCAAATGAGTGAAGTGTGCGGTGATTCTAAGATCGACGGCACTCATCTGCATGTCATACTGACTGACAGTATTATTTCTCTTCCCCAGCAGACTCCAAGGGCATTTAAATTAAAGGTACAGTGTTCTGCACTAATATTAAGTCTCTCTGAAGCCTAGAAACACCCTTTTTTAAGTTAAATTCACAGCGAATATATTCGACTCGAATCGAATATTGTCCACGAATTCGCCGAATCAGTCGAATCGAATTTTTGAATACTTCGCTCATCTCTAGTTAAGAGGACTGGAGTGTGGCCAGTGGGGGGGTAGAAAATATTTCGTGCCCAGCATCAGTAAGAATAAGCATGGCCTCAGGGTTGGTGGTCAGTAGGAGGAAAAGTAGTGCCCCATCATTGGTATTAATGGGAGGAATAGTACCCCATAAGTGATATCAGTGGAAGAAATAGTACCCCATTGTTGGCGTCAGTGGGAGGAATACTGCTTCTTATCATTTGGAGGAATAGTGCCCCAAGGGCCGGATAAAGGCTAGCAAAGGCACACATATGGCCCTCGGGCTGCAGTTTGGAGACCCCTGATCTACACCATTACCAATACAAACCTTAGCTGTAAGAACAACATAGTACAAGACTTGCGACTATGACCATAGTATGTTATATTTATATCTATTTAATGTAATCAATTTAACACAATCAATATATTTATATACTGTTTTATTTTTAAAACCAAAAAGGGCTTTGTGACCGGAGGAGAAAACTGTTCCATCTGAAGTTGTGTACCAGCTCTCTAGCAGTTTTGGAAATAGCACAACTGTCAGCAGAAAATTGAATACCATACGAAACATAAAATCTTGCCTATTTCAATGTCAAATTTTGTGCACATTTTTAATCGTAAGTATGACAATGCTGGGAAGCACTAAATCAAACTTAGCAGAGAAAAATGTTTTCCTTTTCAAAAGATGATGGCGTTTAACACTGAGTAAAATGGATTAGTGGTGCCAGCACAGCCTCTAGTGGTGCTTTGTCTAAATCACAAGATTTTGACAATTCCTATGATTGCCTTTCATCATTATTACTTTACGTATGGAATAAAAGATAAATCAGTCTGAAGGACAATCACAGCACATTTGTGGTTGCAAATTATTTGAAATGCAGGACCCTAATAAACATGCAACTTCCAGATAGGAATTCATGTATTCTGCATTGATGCTGTTGGTTAAGGAAAATTAAAGTGTAAGTAAACCCTAACAATTAACTTCTCTGATTTGTTTCCCTTTGGTACTCTAAATATACAGTTGAAAGTTTTTTTTTTTGTTTGTTTTATCTGTTTGATACGTGTAAAAAAATACCCGTTGAAGTCACTAGAAACTGCGTGACTTGATAATTTGCTGGGCTCTCTACCTGTGCAAAAGGAAAAGTTATGGCAATACGGCAGGAGGTGGCAATGGAGGAGAAAAGGTCTGTGTTCTTTGTAATACAACAGAAATAAAGTAGCCAGGGCTGACAGTTTTGTAATTCAAAACTAAAAACACACTGCTTGTCATGTCAAAGAGGAAGGTAAGAGCACAATATTTTTTCTAGCACCTCAATATATACTTTCTGTGTTTACAGAGTGTTTAAAGGGATAAAACATAGGGAAATGTACACTTATTGCAGAGATGTACAAAATATGATTTATTTTAATTTTACAAATATGGAAAGGTTTCTTCACAGTAAGAGCTGTGAAAATGTGGAATAGACTCCCTTAAGAGTTGGTTCTGGCCAGTTCAGTAGATTGCTCTAAAAAAAGGCCTGGATTCTTTCCTAGATTCACATAATATAACTGGATACTAACATTTATAGATAAAGTTGATCGAGGGAATATCCGATTGCCTCTTGGAGGATTGGGAAGGAATTTTTTTCCCCTGCAGGAGCAAATTTGAGCATGCTTTGCTGGTGGTTTTTTGCCTTCCTCTGGATCAACTGTGGGTATAGGATTATAAATTTTTTTTATGGTTGAACTAGATGGACTTTTGTCTTTTTTCAGCCAGACTATGTAACTATGCTTTACATATGCTTTAAAGCAGCAGTCCCCAATCATTTTGACACTGGGGGAACCGTTTCATGGAGGAAAACTTGCCAAGGATCGGGAAGGGTGGTGGGTGTTTGGTGTTAGTTGGGGCATCAGACTGATTCACGCTTCAATTATATCGACACCATGGTTGATAAATTATTACATTGTAATATATAATGAAATAGTTCAACTCGCCATAACGCTGAATCAGTGGGGGGCCCTAAGCTTGCCACTGTAGCCCACCGCCAGATGCAGAGTGTCACTTGCCACTGTATCCTGCCACTAGATGCAACTTGCCACTTGCCACCTTCACCTACCACCAGTTTTCTCTGCAGTGAAACTTCTCAATGTATGGCTAGACCTTTCATTGTACAGATAGATTTTTGTGGGCTACCATGCAAAGTGTGCCAAAGTGCCACATGGATTTATGAGCATGGTCAAAGATTGGTGTTTCTAGAGGACACGGTTTATTGTGACTCCTTTTCACAGGTTACACCATCAGCCTCCCTTTGCTGCTTGTGGCATTCATTCACACATTATAACTCAGACCAGCAAAGAAAGTTGGGACGTTTACCCTCTGAAAGGTGCTGTTATCACATGTCTGAATAAGGTCCTGCTTTATTAGATTAGAAACATTTCCATTAAGGGACACAAGCCCAAAATATCTTACTTGTACTGTCCTGGGGCCAAATACCCCCACACCAATCTACCTAATCTTATGATAACTGTGTGTATGCAGTACCATCTTGGGCACACTGTTTCTAGGACCATGAGGTCAGGGGACCCAACCATGTATGATCCCACATAAAATTTTGCATGACATAAAATAAAATGTAGCTTTCTTCTATTTCCCATTTTAACTTAACTCATCTGTTGCTTGAGCCTACTGTATATACATTATCCTGAAATCTTGTGTTATGCTGCTTGTATCCTGTATCTGGTAGTTTTTATCCTATAAAAGTGATGGCAGAAAAAGACCAAGTGGTCCCTTAGTTACATATTAAAAATACTACCCCAGTGAACCTAATTCACCCCCTTAACCACTTGGCAACCGCACAATAGCCAAATGGTGGTTGTCCAGTTCTGGGAGGGCGTCATATATATTGACAGTATGACACCCTGTCACATGTGAGAAAGGTTAAGAGGAACCTAGGGGTCTCATCTATACAGGTTGAAGGGCTCCAAACTGCATGCTTGGTACAGAGGAAACTGGTTCACAAAATATTGCTATTCAATTTTATAAAAAATCCAAAACGAAAAGAGGAAAAAAACATCATTGGTATTGTCTGGGCTGCATTTAAATTATACTTCTAAAATAACTTTGCCTAACTGTCATGCCAGTTTTCTTTCTATGAAATGTAAGAGATCAAGAAACATACCTGTGACACCAAGATACAGTATGTTAATGTAGTATGAACCTTTGAAGTAGACATGTCAGCTTATCTTCTTTCAGGCTTGCAAATTTGCAGTTTTAACCTCCTCAACTTCACTGTGTCAGCTGTACCTTTCATTAATCCGATCATGTTCCAATTTATATTTAATATTAAGAAATCATACATGCTCCTGTCCTAATTTAATAAGAAGCTAACTAGAGATAGAGCTAGTAAAGCTATTTTCGTACATTGAAGGGTTTATCTACAAAATATGAAGAGTTGTTTGGTTGTCTTCCGAGGAATAGCAAATACACATTTAGAAGCCAAGCTAAAAGAGCAATGGTCAGTGACCTTTAAGTTGATTCAGTATGGAGTTTTACAGGCTGTTCATTCAATTTGTTCAAATACCCAGAGACATGGAAACAGTAAGAACTACGGATGAACATCTTGTTTTTTTCCCCAGCAAAATAGTAGATTAATTTGTTAATATGCACCGTCGACATCTGAATTGTTAGAAAATGTCTTCCTACATTTTTGGGCTGTGTTAACAAGTCTCCAAAATAGTGTCATAAGGAATTATTATTTCACAAATACAAAACTAAGGTATATGGTTTTCTTTATTGCATAGCAGTCAAGGGCTGAATCTCTCAGGCCTCCTCTGCGGCTGACTTATGATGCACTAGCTTTGTGCGGATGGCACTATAAACTGAAAAATCATTATGAAAATGTGTTGGCAGTTATTCTCTAACTCCTGTAATGTAATGATAATTATTTGCACAGGGACAGTAGTTAGCACTGGTCTTATATTCACAAACACAGACATTCTCTACACCAAATCAATGTTTAAGCAGGGCACAGCTTGTGTAGTTTTTTTTAGTTGCTTCCCACAGTTGAAAAACAATATTTGTGTAAAGTAGTTGTAAACCTTAACCAAATGACATTTCATTTCCTAAAGTCCGTCACAAATTGCCATTGTTTTACCATTTCTTTTTTTAATAAAATACATGTTTTTACAATTTTTCCTCCTTTGTTGCTTCAGCACCTGTTTTGAAGTCCTTTGATGTCTACATGCATGTACTCCAGTGATGACAGTTTATCAGGGTGGGTGTTCTGATTGTGGTGACCGTGCCTAGGTGATGTGCGTTGAAATGGCCTCCTGTGGTCTCCATCAGAATTTCTTTTGACAGGGTGCAGGAGCACAGTTGGGAGACAGGGACAGAGCATTGTCACCCCACAACAGGAAGTGACTGACCATGGATCCATGGCAGGATCAACAGATACTATTTTAATTAAAGATGAATTTTAAAATTATTGGCTTTTAAAATTGCATTAATGTGTTAAAGATTGCATGAGATTTTAGTCATTTCAATTACACATATTTTAATTAGGTTCTCTCTTAACCTCTTCCCTTCTGGCCCATGTCGATAAACGGCAGGACGGGAGCGCTGCCAATGTGGGTGGATATTTCTGAACATTCCCCCCGCATCCATTGCCTGTGCGCGCTCCCTGGGATCGCTGCACGGGACCTCTGAGAGGTCCGATTCATGTGATCACTGATTGGCCAATCAGTTATCACATGAACAGTAGTAAACAAGATGTCACTTCCTGACATCATTGCTTACTACTTGTGAAATCTGTGAATGACCACAGAGGTCACATTGTACAAGGCTATTCACAACAGCCTTGTACCATGTGACAAGCTGTGACCAATCACAGCTC